TTTGTGAGCTCTCCCTTGAGCCTGATTGGGCACATCCATTTGCCCCAGGCACACCTGCCTCACCAGCAGAAGAAGAAAGAGCCACCGCATCGGTAGCTGCCACAGCACCAACGGGACATTTTGACCAGAGCCTCTGACACCAGCTACGATGGGCCAGAGTCTGAGGTGTGATGCCAGCCTGCCAAGAACTCCACCTTCCCAGACTTGGTGGGAGTTAAGGGTGGGCGTATGGCAGAGAGCTGGCTCCCTTTTCTCTCTGGCTGCCAAAATAATTTAGATTCCATCTCCACTCCTCCCCCTCACCATCCCCCCCACCTCCCCAGGCAGTTTGGCTGGCTGGGTTGATCCAGTGTTACTTATATGTACAGGTGGCCAAGACCGCAGGGAGTTGGGCCCTGCCTCCCCCTTTCCCACTTGAGAAATAAGGAAAGTTATGTCGCTTCTTCCCCCCTTCTTTTTCGGGAGCCTGAATTCACCATCATGCACTCATTTACGTCTATCTCTCGAGTCAGGTGGGGGAAAACCTCTTGCAAACTGCTTGTTGCTTTTCTGGATGCTGGGTGTGATCCAATTTCAGGCAGGGCTATCTCTAACCCCCTCCAGGCAGTCGGCCGGCTGATCTTCTCTGTCGCACAAGGGACTCCATTTCAGTAGCAAGTAGGAAGAGAACGTACGTGGCAGGGGGTGGAGGGGGGGTAGGGAGAAGAGCACAGCACATTTCCAAGGGTGGAGAAAGAAGGGGTAGGCCAACTGCTTGGAGGGGGCAGTTTTTGGAGCTAAATTGCCCCCCTTCCTATTCATTTTTTTTCTATTGGGACGGGGGTGGGGTGGGTCTGCAGATGAAGTGGGGAGAGGGTCTATTGATGTGATGGGGGGGGTTGAGGTTGCAAAGCACAGGGTAGAACATTTTAGCCCAAAGTTTATGCCACGGCTAGAGAATGGGTTAGTACCAGCATAGGCACACGGTCTCAACAGGGTATGCATAAACGGGAGAGATGAGGCAGCCCCACAATGCTCTATGGGGAAACATGCCTTCTGGGTTGGGAGGTGGGGTGGGAGCAAGGAAATATTTTCAAGCAAACTTTTTTTCTTGATTCGATGTGCTTGCTAAAAACAAAAACAAAAAAAACCTAAAGGATGAAATTATGGGGACAGCAGGGAGGGAGATTTGAACTGGAAAATAAATAAATAAATAAATAAGGTTCTCCTAATATTAATCCCTCCCCCTCAAGCAATTATAGGTGTGATTGGACTTAGAGAGTACAATGCAGGTGCCATGCCAAGATCCCGTTGAAAGTAAAGGCAGAATGAACGAAACGTGGCAAGAAGTGCCATTTGCTACACATCCGGTCCACAGCAAAACTCTCCTTGATTAGAATGTAAAACGGATCACTTTTTATATTCGCCTCTGTGGAGGCTGCCCACAGTATCTCTGAGTGAGTCGCTCCTTTGGTTTTTCCTCTCTGCAGTAGCCTTCCAAGGTGGTGGATAATACAGTATTATCTCATTATTTCCCTGCTCGGGGATATAAGGGTGCATTTGGCTATTCCCACCGGACAGCCCTGGCTCTCTAACTTCCTCAGAGCCAGCCAGAAAATAAATTAACCTCTTCAACCTGAGGTCAAGGTTGTTTGTAACACTTTTCTACAAAACTGAATTCAAAAAAAAAAAAAAAATCAAAATTCCCAAGCCTTGAAATGTCACTTTCAAATATCAAAAGTTCTTCGCTTTTCGCTTTTATTTCAGCTCCAGCAAGGCTGAGTTTGTGAAGACCCATAGTAGGACACCCGTTTAGAGAAGGGGAGCTGAACTAGCATGGGGTTGTGGCAGCCAACTCTGCCATTCCCATTAGGGCAGGGTTTCCCAACCTTGACAACTTTAAGACATGCGGACTTCAACTCCCAGAATTCCCCAGCCAGCCATGGTGGAAAGTCCGCCATGTCTTAAAGGCGCCACGGATGGAAAACTCTCCAGTAGAGAAAGGGACTTTGGGGGGCTTGTGACTAGAAAGTGGGAAAGGTGTGACTGTGAGCCAGAAGCAGCAGACAGATTGCCCAAGCTCACCAAGTGAGGAATGGCTACTTCCTGCCTCAGTGAGTAAAGACGTCCTGCAACTGAACTCACCACAGCTGGATTTTTTTTGAGGGGGTGGAAATTGTACCAGGAAGGACAGATTGGGCATCTTTTCAAATCCGGGCTTGCAAAACCAAGCCCCTAATCTTGGTACTAGATTAGAAGGCAGGAATCTCGGTTGCAGTGGGGGAAGCGCTGTTAGAAAAGCTTCTGCAATCATTTCCAGTTGTGGGATTTCAGTGTTCAGACTTGGTTTTTCTTAATTAAAAAAAAACAACAACAGCGAAGGAGGTGAAATCTAGATAAGTATCTTATTTTTCCTGCCACCAAATAACACGGCATTTCCCAACTCACAAAGGGACTGCTACAGTCATCATGGGAACTTAATAGCAGTCTTTATAGGAACTGGAGCACAGGGTAGATGGTGGAGTTAAAGGAGGACAAAGAGGGTTATCACAATGAAGGAAAGAATAATCTCTGTTCCTGGTTAAGAGATTCTGCCAGCATTCATTCAGGGTCTTCCACAAGAGAAACCCTATCCTATCCTCACCCCGATTAGTCCTGGAGGGCCGTCTCTGATTTCTCTCCCAAGCTAGAATGTAAACGATCCCCAGTTCAGCTCCAGTCTTTTGTATTTTCTCCATTAGATTCGCCAGCCAGTCAGTACAATAAAATATTGTCTTTGGGCAAGGACCCGCTACAAAACCCAGAGACAGCAGGGTGAACAAAAAGGCAAAGAGCACAGGGTGGGTGGGTTGGTATTTGTGGCAATGCAATGTAATGCAATCCATTCACGAGAATTCCCCCACACCTTCCCGTCTCTTCAGAGGTAAAATTGCTGGACAGCTAAAATAAAACATTGCACCAACTTGGTCTGAGATTTCAAACTCCAAAAATCAGTTGGAAAGGAACTCCATTTCCAAACTCTGGGTTTAATATAAAAAAAGTGTCTTTTGCCAGAAAACGTGAGCCAAAGTTTTGTTTGAAGTATTCGTTGGCCAAGTTTAACATTTCACAGGCAGTTTTTTTTCCATGTATCCTTTAAGTCCAGCAGCATCTATAATTCATGTGGATGGGTCACACTCAAGGCCCAATGTATCTAGTCTAGCATTTTCTTTGTTAACAGTTGCAGCCAATCAGAAGGCTTGGGAAAGCCTATATGAATGGAGCATCTTTCAGGAGTTTGCTCCCAGCAACTATTTCTTAAAGGTATACTGCCTCTGAAATGAGAAGATCTGCTTTATGCTCTCATGTCTTACAGCCAATGTTAGACGCCTCATTCATGAATTTGCTTCCATTGTTTAATTACAAAAAAAAAAAAAACGAAAGAAAGAATAGAGGAAGAGGGCATTACATTAGGAGAATATTTGTGCCAGCGTTTACAAGGATGTTTGAGTTATCGACATTTGCTTGAAAATTTCCACTCAAATCTATTTCAGCTCCCAAGAAAAAGGGAACAAGAGAAGGCCATTTCTCAAGTATATGTTCATTCATTTAAATGCATGCAAATTTAAAGTCACTAGTTTTCTAGCATTGATGCTGAATTGTTTTTATTTTTGATGGCTAGGTTCAAAAACAAAATAGCCTGCTGTGATAACCTGGTTTGGCCCTTGCAGGTGCCCAGATCCTGGTTTTCTTCGGTGGGAAGCAGGAGTGGGTTCTCATTGACCAAAAGAGCAAACCGGTCCTACCATCGAAAACAATCCTCAGTATCTCAAACAAGCCTAGAGGCCACAACAAGCTCTTGGAATGTAAATCTGCTCCTTCAATTCTACCACAAGATGGAAGGGACAGGAGGAGAGGAGGGGCCATTTCCAGTCTCCTCTACCTCTTGGACTTCACTGGATCCCCTCCCTCAATGACGTAATGCACAAGCCGGAACTGGTTCTTCTTCTTTTCTTTTCTTTTTTCCTTTGGGGACTTTGCTGCAAAACTTTATACATGTGTGAAAGGGGTGGTGGTGGTGTCATCCGATTCTGGCAGTGCCCCCAGCAGCTTCAAGGTAGACCTCATGCTGTCTTCGTGAACGTTTTTTTCCATGTAATGTTTTTTGGAAACATAAGTGTGGAAACATAAATGTGGAATATATATATATATATATATATATATTTATTCATATTCTTTGGAATAAATTTAAATACTACATTTCTGTATGCAGCGTTTTCAAAGCTTATTATTCTATATATGGGAAAGGCACCTGGGAGGGCACGGTTTTTGCAGGAAGGCAGAATATCTGTTGCTTTTATCTTTTATGTTGGGGTTTCCTCAGCAGGAATTTCCAAGACTGGCTTCCTATACTTGCTGTGGGGGGAATATTGTGATAGGCCCAACATAATCATATTAGGGTTTAAGATTATGTTGGTTCCCATAACATGCTGAATGACTAACCACTTGATGCCATTTTACTAGTGTCTTCTAGCGTTTTATGCCAATTCAGAAACTTACTATGTTTAACAGTACGGTTGCACATTCAGATCGTCACATATTCATTCTGGAAATATGCATGCCAGTCTGAGGGCAGCCTTTGCCAGCTTTGTTTGAAAGCATAACGTGACTTGGTTTTCCAAGTCTAGACACCGTGTATCCGAGTCGCAAAAACTTCCCTCAGAAAAATGAATTATTCGTTATCTAGCGGCCCAGATATGTATTCATAAAGCTGAAGTTAAGGGCTGTTGGATAAGTGTCAATTCATTCCCTAAAGCAGTGTCTCTTAATCTTGGCACATTTACAATGTGTGACGTCAACTCCCAGGAGTCCCCAGTTAGTCATTCTCACTGAGGAACTCTGGGAGTTGAAGTCCACAAGTTGCCAAGGTTGGAGACCCCTGCTCCAGGGAAAAAGAACGGCCCACTTAAGAACAGTAGCAGTGCCCTCTGCTCATCATATGAAAATCCAGCTGAGAGTTCCGCAGGTTCTGGGTAGGAGGCTACAGGGGGAGGTTTCATTCCAAGGGATTAAGACCAACAGAACAGAAGATTTGGCCGGAGCACCAGGTCAGCTTAATGGGAAAAGTAGGAGGGGAAGATGGGAATGGACCCTGATTGAATAAAAAATATAGTTTGTGCCCCAAAGCACGTTGAATTTGGCTGCTTCTCCAGAGTCCTGAACAGAAGTAAATAAGCATTATGACTTGGACTGTATCAACACTAATGACTGGATTTGTGCAAGAGCTCAATTTTCTGCAAGATCTGTTAAAAAGAATAGATACCATATCCATGTTCAAAATAAAACCACTTATGATGTCAATAGATTGGTCTAGATAGGTTACCAATTGGCACCTGCCATGTATAATAAGGAGTTAGCGACAATTGACTTATCCCTAGAAGATTGCTTTAAAGCTTGAGAAAAATGTGAGCAAAACAATTAGGAAAAATAATTACAGTGACATGCTTATTCTTATTAATTGCTACTATTAATACAACAATATTATTTATAGCCTTAGACCCCAGCAATTGACAAGTACAAAAGTAAAAAAACCTGTACTTTCCCACAGCCCTGAAATGAATAAATAATTCTAATAAGAAAGAACAATATAAAGAATAATATGTTTATCTCTTTATCATCTTGGTAGCTCTGTTGCTTTAAAGTGACTGCGAACTGAAATTAATCCTGGAGATCCAGCTGGAATTCTCATTCAGCAGAATTCAGTGGATGAGCATGCCAATGTCTTTCTTAGTCTAACGTGTCCTGCAGGATCATTGTGTAGTTGAATCGGGATGACTGAGTTTTATGCCAGAGAGATCAGATAAAAGTAGAATTGACTTCAGTTCCCTTGTTGCTGAGTCATAGATATACACATACACGCTAAGGAAAACATTTCAGTACAGAATGTCACGATTGATCCCATGAGTAAGAAACACTAATGAATCTCCTCTCAACTCAACTGTGTTGGGTTTCAAGACATAATTTTCTTGTCTTTTTCTAGAAACCCAGTATCAGGTAGATCTTTGTAATGGTTAACTTCTCAGGCGTGTTTAAGGATCTGAGAAAACAAAGGAGGAGAAAGGTTTTTTGCATCCTGTCTGCCATGTCGATTGTAGCATGGCATGAAAATGTTCACAAACATTTCAGATACTATTTGGGCAACATAACTGGTTAGTGAAGCTGTCATCTGTGTTCACCTAATATCTATGTATAAACAGACCAACTGGATTGGATTTACAATCTAGACACTATTCCCCAAGTCTAACCCATATTACTGTCACTAAGCTTAGTAAATCAAATCAAGTTTTTATTAGAGTGTAAGCCAGCATAAGGAGGATGGGACACAGTCAACTGAAAAGCATAGAAGATATATCAGTTCTAAAAAAAATATGAAAAACTAGAAGATATCACAGCAGAAAATATACAGGCAGTCCTTGACTTAACAACCACAATGGAGAGCAGAATTTCCATTGCTAAATAAGGAGGGTGTTGCCCCCATTTTATGACCTCCTTTGCTATGATTGTTAAAAGAATCACTGCAGTACTTAAGTAAAGCACATGGTTCTTAAACAAAGCCAACTTTCCCCATTGACTTCGCTTGTGGGAAGCCAGCTGGGAAACTGCAATTGCCAATGTTGATCACCTGATCCCATGCCATTTGCAACCATCATAAATGCATGCAGGTTGCCAAGCACTCAAATTCTGATCATGTGACCTTGGGGATAATACAATGGTCATAAACGTGCAAACTAGTCATAGATCATATTTTTCATTGCTGATGTAACTTTGGTCACTAAACAATTTTTTTCTGCATCCTGTACAGAGGTGGATTTTTAAGCTGTGCAGATGCAGAAAGATAAACTCAACAAGACATCAATAACAAAGTACATTTATTGGTTCATCAGGTATCCTCATAACTCCCATTCGCGATGAAGTTCTTCTTTAATGACCAATCCTTTGCATATCTGCCTTGTAGTAAAAGATGGTTATCTCCTAACCCATCTCGTAGCGATAGAAAGCAGCTCCCATGAGTTAGGGAGTTCAGGCAAAAGTGAGGAAAACTCCCCCAACCCATCAAGGGTCAAATTAGTGACCAATCAGGATTGCAGATGTGGCCACGTGACATGAACTACATTTCCCAGGATACATTTACCATGATGCATTCCCTTAAGGGGACAACTCATAATTCCTAAGTAACTATCCAATTCCTATAGACTGGCTGGGACACCACATTCCCTGCCTGGAATTGTAAATTCCACTAATAAAAGAAGAAAGAAAAAAATTAACTATAAACTAAGAGAAACAGTAAACATTAATAAAGCATCAAACAAAGCAAAGCATGCAAAGCTTGAGGTTCAATCTTCAAGTCCGGCCTCTTGGTGCAAGTCCGCTGGTCACCTCTGGTGGCCTTTTAGGGTGTACAGGTACTCTTGGCGGCAAATGTGAAAGTCTGCTGGTCACCTCTGGTGGCCTTTTAGGGTTGACAGGTACTCTTGGTACCAATCGTGAAAGTCTGGTAGTCGCTTCTGGCGGCATTTTAGGGTTGTAACGGTATTCTTGCTTCCACGGTGTAAAAAGGCGTCGAGAAGCTGTTGGAAAGGGTGTTGCATAGGTATATGCCCGTGTAGAGTGTCTTAGTGGACGTCTGGTCGTTGTTGGCGACTCTTTAGAGTGTCCTAGCGAAAGTGTACTGATTGCCGGTGGCCTTTTAAGCCGGAATGGCATTCTTGTTTTCGATGGTTCTAAAGGGTGTCAGAAGGCAGTTGGAATGGATGGTGCTAAGGCATTTGCCTGGGTTGGAGCCTGCATCCGATCATCACTGTCAATTCCTACGATCCCCCATCCTAGTGGAGATTTGATGGCCACTGGGCCATCTACAGGGCCGCCTACTGACTCAGAGAAGAGAAAGGCGTGTGGGGCATTATTTCTCAGCAAGAGTAGGATCTCAGCCTCCGTATCTAGAGCGGGAAAGTGATGAGCCAGGTGCTGTAGGTGAGGCATGCTACTTATGACCTCAGGTGTTGCGATCTGACTGCGGTCGTTCAGTACCCCATCGCATTCAAATACAGGCGGTAGTGGGAACTGGGAACTTCCATCCAATGACTCTATGCAGAGTCCAGTAGTTCTCCTCCCCGCCGTGCTTCTTGGTCCATGGCATGTTGATACAGTGAAGGGAAGTTTGTCCTGTTGCACTTCAAAGAGGTCGAAGAATGCAGGTCTGGCCAGGGTACAGGTGCTTTGAGTGTCTATCCGCATGTACATTTTCACGGCATCTTCAGGGCGTCCTTCAGGATACACTTTGGCTAAACAGATAGGAAGACACGAATGAGGGCATGGTGACTCGGTGCACAGTGCTGTGCAGTTGACACTCATCCTTGGTTTTGGTTGCGGTTTGTCAGTCTGCCGAGGAGCCCTGCATGCTTCTGTGTTATGTTGAGGCTCCTTGTCCGAAGGAGGGTTATGAGATTTCTGCAGTGGCAGCTCAAAGTCTGGATGCAGCGCGGTTGGGTGTTGGTCACTATGGCATAAGTCGCATTGCACCTTGGCTGTCCAGTACTTGGACAGGTGTTTGGATTCACAACACCTATTGGTATTGGTACTCCCTTAGCAACTCTTTTCATTGGGTCAGTGATTTCGCTGCCAACCCAGTGCAGCTGTTCAGCAAGTGAAAACTCCCCCAACCCATCAAGGGTCAAATTAGTGACCAATCAGGATTACAGAGGTGGCCATGTGACATGAACTACATTTCCCAGGATACCTTTAACTACATTTACCATGATGCATTCCCTTAAGGGGACAGCTCATAATTCCTAAGTAACTATCCAATTCCCATAGACTGGCTGGGACAGCACACAATGGTTGTAAGTCAAGGACAACCTGTTTGTGAAAGTCTGTAAGAATCTTAAAGAAATGGTAGGACTAAGCTTACTATGTTTTGAGAATGTATCTGTTAGATCTTCATCAATTCTGATTAAGGATTTTTTTAAAATTTTCTACAGCCAGGAAATAGTAACTATACAAGGAGGTTTGAAGAAAGAGGGAAGTTGGGGAAGATGATATTATAGAATCAGAAAAGGATAGTACAGTATTGAAAAAAATAATTAGAAGCTAGAAATATCAGGAAGTTGATGTCCATCAAAGCAATAATCTTTTTATTTTTATTTTATTTTTTATTTATCAGATTTGTCAATCACTTAAAAGATAATAGGTATAAGAATAGATATGAGTATGAATACAGGAAATAGATTCGAATAAATGGGGACAATAGGACAGGGATGGTAGGTACGATGGTGCACTTATGCACGCCCCTTACAGACCTCTTAGGAATGGGGTGAGGTAAATAGTGGATAGTTTGAGGTTAAAGGAGTGGGGGTTAGAGGATGTAACAGCAGAGTCAGGTAGTACATTCCAGGCATTGACCACTCTGTTGCTGAAGTCGTACTTTCTGCAATCAAGTTTGGAGCGGTTTACATTAAATTTGTATCTGTTGTATGCTCTTGAATTGTTGCAGTTGAAGCTGAAGTAGTCATTGACGGGTAGGACATTGTAGCAGATAATTTTGTGTACTACGCTTAGACCCAACCGTAGGCAGCATAGTTCTAGGTTGTCCAAGCCCACATTTACCTTGAAGCAACTATTTTCCTAAGCAAATTCCCAGCCATTGTAGGGGTTATAGTTATCTTTCCTTGTCATGTGACTCAGAATGTGTGTCTGGCCAGAGCCATTCCGGGTTGTGGGTAGACTTGAAAGTGGGTCTTGCTGGCCCAGCTTGTCCTTGAATACTCCACTCCAGTGGCTTTCCATTAGTCTGAGTTTTTAAGTTCAGTATTAATTCCACACAGGCTGGGATCAGTTGGAAGGACTTGGGCCAGCAGCCTGGAGCCCTCCAGGATAAATGGATGAGGAATGTTCAATCTCACAGAAATCTGCATTGCCAAAGGCTCATGCGCATAGAATGGGAGCAGCTGGCAGAGAGTTCCCTTGGCACAGCCAGCCATGCTGTTTAGGGGAAGC